TACGCCGGAGTGGCGCACGCCGTCGCCACACGACGTTCTTTTTATCTCAAAGCCGTATCCCTTTTGCGCCTCTTCTCTATTCCTCAATTTCCAATGAGTCGGAATACGACATGAAACGCTAAACTGCCACAAAGGGGGCGAGCACCGGCGATGACGGCCACCGGTCGAACCCTTTGCCCGGTCTGCTCTCTCTCTTTCTCGTCGCAGCGCTAGTACGGAACCTCCTGCCACTCTTCCTCGCTCTTTTCTCTTTTTCTTCCGTGTAATCCGTTAGGTATGCTTTTGTCATTACTGTTAATTCCGTCGATGGTTCCGTTCCATGGGGGGAAGGTGCTGCGATCGACTGCGGTGGGTGTAGGCTAAGGGATGGAGGTGGAATCGGTTCGCGTTTTTTCCTTGGAAACGTGTCATTGGTGAATTCACCCTTTGGGCAACGCGTGATGATCACGGGGAGGATCTTTGTTCGTTTTCTTTTGATGGAATGGTCTGTCTAATGAGGTTTTTAGAGTGTTTCTGTTGTTTAGGTAGGAGTGTTGACATTTTTGCTAGATTATGCTGTGGAGTCTATACTCTGGATTCCACGCGTTTGGAAAGTAATCAGAAATACTCAGAAACTCAGTCTTTGCTACTCTGCGAACATCCCTCTGACGAGCATTTCTTCCTGAGACTCTCCCCGATGTTTCTACTTAAATTTTGAAAATTAACCCTTCAATTTTATCTATCTCTACTCTATACTCTACTCTATATCCCTACTCTATATCCCACACACTTAAAAAAACCATCAAAACTACTCACAATTCGCCACTCTCAAAACAACCCTCTAACGAGCATTTTTTCCTAAGATTCCATTGTTTCGATTTGGATACTGAAAATTAACCCTTCAATATCTATCTCTACACTATGCTCTATCCCATAAAAAACCATCAAAACTACTCAACCCCTCAGTCCACCCTCGAATCATCGCTTCGAAACCTAGCTGAAGCTACAACCTTCCTCAACCGCCCTCTTCCTGCGACAGCAACGTTCAGAGGGACGAGCCCGCGTTTCTTCTGCGGGATCGCGTAATGTTTGTCCGCAGCGTTGACTTGTTCCTGGCAGTTTCCGGTTGCAGGGAAATGCATCCAGTGAATCAGAATGGTCGCGCAAAGGACTCGCCGAAGGAAAGAAGGGAGGGTGGCGGTCATCGAAGCGGCTGGACGGCCGTCTAGGAGCCGCAGCGTTGCACGCGAGCCGTCGACGACGGTGGCGAGGGCGTGCTTGCGTGCGTGCGTGCGTGCGTGTGCAACAACGCTCGCATCCTCCAGTCGCCGCCCCTTCTCTTGGTCTCGCGAACATTCACAATGCCGGAGGGTTGGGCTCCGCCGCGGACCCGGCGTGTGTAAACTGTTCACTTCAAAGCAAATCAGCTATTCGTTACGCACGGCAGCGCCTCGACGTCACCGTGCGTCCGTAACCGTTTACTGTTGTTGTTGTTGTTGTTGTTGTTGTTGTTGTTGTTGTCGTCGACGTCGTCGTCGTTGGCGGCGATCGTCGCGGCGCAGACTCTTTTGAGAAATTAGCTTTCCACTCGTTCGAGGATAACGCGTCGGCGCATCGGAATCGCGGACGATCGTTGTTTATACTTCGGCGGACGCCTCGCTGCGCCGCTGGCGGATTATTTTCCTGATGGACGGTAATTATAGAACGCTGTCGTTTGTTCATACCGTGTCAAGGATGCACTCGCGGAAGGATCCGAGCGGATATTCGTGGTGGAGCTCGAAGACGTTTTCACTGTGTTCAGCTTTGAATCGGTTTGGAGAGATTTTGAGTTTCGGAATTAGGTTTTGGGGTTTGGGAAGGGGGTTTAGGGGTTGGGAAATTGAATGAGATTGTGTGGGTGTAGAAGGTTTCTTAGGGAAGTGGGAATTGTTTTAGTTGGAATGGAATTTTCGTGTTTCAAGGGTTATGGGAACTGTGTGATTATTGAGTGTAGGGGTAGATGTATTGTATTTGGAAGTTTCGAGTGATAACAATCGATCTTTATCGTTGTCAACGCAATTTCTCAATGACGCGAGATAACGCGGCGTCGACAGGGCCGGCAGATAGCTGCGAAAACTCGTGGATAGCGTGACGATCGACGCTACAGTGGGGTTGAAACGCGCGCGCGAGCGCGGCAAAGTCCCTCGGGTCCCAATTACACCGACACCCGATCCCGGCATTACGGCCGAGCTAATTCAAGGGGCGAGGAACGCGTCGCGTATAAATCTCGTCCCGTTGATTGTACAGTTTCGATTCCGTTTGTCACGGCGCGGTGTCGTCCTAACGATCCTGCGACGAACATTCGCGCCCCGTCCTCCTTGCTCCTTGATCTCTCCGCTGGAAGACAGCGTTCGGTGAAACGAGAGGTTACGACGAGGTTGAAAAATGGGGAATTTAGAAATTTGGTGGTTCGAAGATGTGGAAGTTTAAGAGTTTGAGAACTCGAAAGCTTGGAAACTTGAAGACTTCAGTACTTGGAAATTTGAAAATTTGAAGAATTGGAGACTTGAGTGCTTGGAAATTTGAAAATGTGAAGAATTGAAGACTTGAATACGTGGAAATTTGGAAAATTGAAAGATCGAAGATGTGATGACTCAAAAACTTTGAATGGCAAGAATCCACCCATTTAAAAATTCGAAAATTTGAAAAGTTGAGTACTTGCAAATTTGAGAGCTTGAAAGTTCGAAGATTTGAAACTTGAAAACTTGAGAATTCAAAAATTTAGAAATGTGAAAACTTATGAAGTTGGAAGCCTGAAGACTTCAAACCTTGGAAACTTCAAACGCCAAGAACTCACGCACTTAAAAATTCGAAAATTTGAAAAGTTGAGTACTTGGGAATTTGAGAGCTTGGAAGCTCGAAGACTTGAAGCTTGCAAACTTGAGAATTCAAAAACTTAGAAATTTGAAAGCTTAGAAAGTTGAAAGCATGAATCCTCGAAACCTTAAAAACTTCAAACACTCAAAGATCTAAAATCCCAAGAACCCACGCCCCCGAAACTTCGAAAACCCAAACGTTCCCGAAGGAAACGCAAAGGCTCCGTAATTCAGAGCAAAATTTTTCCACGGTTTCCGTCACGATCGTCGCGCAGAAAGCTTTCACAGCTCGCAAGGGTGACAGGGTCCGCGGGAAAGGCGGGCGGCAGGTGACGAAGGTCTCGCGGAGTCGAAAGAAAACGAAAGGGCGGTCTGGGGTGCGGGCAGGAGGTGGGCGAGCCTTCCAAAGGGTTGTTCCTCTCTAGCGACAAAAGGTTCGACTAATTACGAGGAGGCCGCAAGTCCCCGTGTAACAGTGGCAAAGGCAGCTGTCGGTTCCCAAGGCAGTG